TTTTGTTTCTTACCTTGATGCAGTGATATGTGATGTTGGCTGTGTATATGTGATGTTGCCAATGAATCAAATCCATTTGTACAATGATTGAGACAAATTTTAAAATGTAGGAACCTTGTTTTTTCGCCCGCTTGCATTAAATCTGGAGTCTGGGGAGGATGTCATCCATAAAATTTACTTGCCGTGGCCTCACCGCACTCGTAAGGTAGTGACATGTCTGATTGTACAGTAATGCTACACGTGGAAAGACGAACAATGTTACGGTGCAATAAGTGGGCCCAATGTATATTTTTACCTCCATGAAAATGGAGGTTATTGTTTTTGGTACGTCTGTATGTGTGTGTATATGTGTTTCCGCACATTCGTAGTCAGCATAACTTTAGAACGCCTTTATGGATTGTGATGATATTTGGTATGCTGGTAGGTCTTAGGTGAAATATGGGCTTCCTGGTGGCTGACCTTGGTACTGTAGCAGAACTTCCGGGAACGCCGTTGCTAAGGGCTCGATTTTCCCGCCGCCAGCGGGATGAAATAATAAATTTCATCCGACTTTGACAGCTGACTGCATTACCGCTGCCGGTCTCTTGGTCATCATGGCGGTAAGTGTCGGACGTATGTAACATGTGCTCTCCATATAATCCATTTCCGTGGAGTTTTACAACGATTTTGAACTACTAGTAGTTTGACGGTCAGACCTGGTAGACAGCGATATTAGGAAAATGGTAGCGCCATAATGAATGAAAATTTCAGCGATTTTCAGATTGGGGGCATCTGCATGTCACCCTCGATTTAGTGTGAAATTGATAGTGCGTCAGAACTGTTGAATCTTCCTCTATATCTCATATGAAAATCGTGTTGGATCAAAATCTGGATAGGTGTTTAATTTCACATCTTCTAGGATCATGTCTTTAGCCATTTTTCGAAAACACGCTGGCGTTCGTAGTTCTATGCACGTTTTTACAGCTCCCCCTCTGAGTTACGAGTGGCAGATGTGTTGGGAAAAGTCGCGTTCTATTCCGGGATAGAATTTACCGCTGCTAATGACATCACGTCGCGCGTTTTGGGGGCATCTGCATGTCGCCCTCGTAATCGATAAATATAGAATACAACACGGGGTATTCCGTATCACCCGAGGTACCAGCCCGACCGCGCGTCGGATCGCCCGACGGCCGAAGGCCGGAGCCGGAGGGAGATCCGATCCGCGGGAGGGCTGGGACCGAGGGTGATGCGGAATACACCGTGTTGTATTTTATTTATGTCATACCCACCCAAGAAAACGCGCCTTTCAATGCGAAATGGGCGAAAATTTGGTGTCCCTAAACCCAAAAAATGCGACAACATCAATTCCAACGTCCGAATTTTGTATTCGAATTTCGAAATCGGTGCACGCGGTTAGGCCGAAACGCGTTCGAATCGTTCCACGGAACATTTGAAAGGGCCGGGCCGTACGCGTAAAGAACCCCCGGGCTGTACCGCTAGTTATCACACGGGCCGGAACACCCGTATCGAACGTAATCGCGGCCCAGGTAGGACATAATAAGTTATATATCGACAGAAAGTAGAATCTTTGGTGTTTGATACAGGCTAGATTCCCTGTTGGATCAGAATCTACAACAAGTTCAAAATAAGAAGGGAAATTGCACGAAAATCACCTGTTTTTAGGTCAAATTATTGAAAGGAAAACGAAGGACCCGTGATTATCTTTTTTTAATAGGAGGAGAGAATGAAGCTAACATATCGTAAATAAGTTGAAATTATGAAGATACGCGGTTCTATACTCCAGTGACACTCCTCTTTGTAAGGGGTATCGACGCCCCGAAATCATGGAACAGACTACTTTCTCTCGCGGAAGGAAAATAAAACTGCCTCGAACTCTGGACGTGGCTTGGCGGCTGTTACGATACGGCCCGGGCGTCTTTACGCGTACGGCCCGGGCTTCCAAATGTTCTATAGAACCATGGAGGTGGAAATGATAGTACGATTCGAACGCAATTCGCCCTAACCGCGTGCACCGCTTTCGAAAATTCGAATACAGAATTCGGAAGTTGGAATATTGATGATGTTGCATTTTTATGGTTTAGGGAAACCAAATTTTCGCTCATTTCGCATTGAAAGGCGTGTTTTTTTTTGGTGGGTATATGATGACATAAATAAAATACAACACGGTGTATTTCGTATCACCCTTGGTTCCAGCCCTCCCGCGGATCGGACCTCCTTTCGGCCTTCGGCTGTCGGGCGATCCGACGCGCGGTCGGCCGGGCTGGTACTTAGGGTGATACAAAATACCCCGTGTTGTATGCTATTACATGTATCTATATTACATGGATAGGCGAGGAATGTCTGTGTGTGAAAAAACACCGTTACTGCCTTGCTAGCTTTTTTTCCTAATCTATTATTAACTACAGTGCCAGTGATAACAATGCCCCGCATCTGACTATGTTTCAATTTGATCTTTGCACACGGGGGGCGTACACTTGGTCAACACCTAACAGGTATTTAAGCTACGGTCACAACCCGCCGTGCGTGCTTTTTCTCCGTACGTTTTTTGGGAGGCTACGTCTGCTACGTTTTTTTTTTCTGAAAACGTGGGGAAGAAGTGGCGTCTACGCACGTCACTCGCACGGTTGCGCAGAGTGTGGTCTGCACGCCACGTCTGGCGGGGAGCGGTTGTGTGCATCGTACGTTGCGCAAGTGGTGTGTTGTACGTGCTTACAACGTACGATCTCTGTGCGATTGCAACTTTACCGCAAGGAGGTTCGTACTCACACGTACTTCTTCCGCACCACACGTACGGGGCACGCGCGTCGCTCGTACTCGCACGCACGGGTGGTGAATCCGTAGACCGCACGTAGAAAAAGTTTTACATGCACTGCGTGCTCCCAAATCCGTAGAATTCCGTACGGAGGCGGTACTCACCATGCACGGATGCCCTACGTTTGCCCACGTTTTTGCACATAGACAGCACGCAGAAGCACGTACGGCGGGTTGTGACCGTAGCATAACGGGAGGCTACCACCTGACGCTGGTCAAGTGTGCTGAACTAGCACAACTCAGCAACGAGACCTTCTCAGAATACCCTGCACCGAAACCAACTTCTCAAAATTATAGTTTCATAGTCAATGTACCGAAACGTACTTCTGGGAAATGTTGGCAACCGATGTATCAGCCTTTTAACCAAGAAATCTGTGCCGGCTTTTCTGTAATTTCGTGAGGGTAAAGTTTTCACGATATTGCACACACACACACACACACAAAAATTTCTCCCATAGAAACGAGGTAAGGTTATTATGCTTTTGAGCTTTCTACAACACCGTCCTGTTATTGACCGGCCATATCGACCTAATTTTCCTGTAAAGGACCGGTAACACATCAAATGTTCAGAACTGAGGCCGTGAGGGCATTGTTGGGACACTGCATGTGTAACGTTACACTGTGTAGTACAGAGTTCAGCACAGCCATTGTCTTGCTACGGAAAATCCTAATAATAGCCGTGAGGGTGGTTGGTTCTCACAGCCTATTTTTTTTTTTTTTTTTATTCATTCACATAGAAAAAAGGTACAGGACATGGTGGTGCCGCACTCAAGTGGAAAGCACTTATGTTGACGGCACCACTGAAATAAATACATATAATAAAGAAAAAACAAACGCAACTTTGGGACAGGCAAAAACAGTATATACAGGAAATTCAAAAGCGCAAGTCCAGTTTCCCACCCAATGATAAATGATGGCAAAGAGGACACAGTACATAGATAACAAAGGGGGAAATGGAAAACTTTTAAAAACGTTCTGATGTGGTGATAAAGTTTTGGGTATGTAATAATATACTGGAGTTAACAACTGATGAGAATACGGGACTACCACGGAGTAAAAGGTCAGTTAAGAGTAAAGAGACTGTAATTCAGGCTGCACGTGCCAATGCGAAGGCGTACCATAAGAGCACCAGAATAACGAGGACCGTGACACAGCCAGTTTCGGACAGTACAGCGACTGCCTACGACAAATGAGACCACACCAATATCTAGTTTTCAACGACTAACTTCTATTACTAGTAACAATTTGCATTTGCCATGCTCATTTTTTTCGGCCACTGTGAAATGTAGTTTTCTACGGAGCGGATTTCTGAGAAAACAATGACAGGGACAGATTAGCATAATACCGGTCGATCGGATTCAAATATTTTTCCTTACTGGTTTTCAATTAACATTACAAAACTATGTAGAATGATCAAGATAATTGTACCCAAATCAAGTAATCAAGAATTAGAAATTACTGTCAGCAGCTTCCAGTCTCTGGGAAATCAACCCTGTGTTCAATTTCAAGTTTATAAAAAAGCCCTTTCAGAAATGTCTATTAGTAGATACAGTATTTATATTTGTAATTTGAAAATGTCTTCCTCACAGCTAAATTTGCGTTGACAGTCAGTGTGTCTAGAAACAAGTCTTCTAATTGTGGTGTCCATTTGGTAGTCTAAGAAAACAGTATACACGTAGAGTGCAGCTCTGTTGTTAGAACCGTACAAGTAACTGCAAGCCAATGTCTGAAGCTCTGACACTACCAGGCAGAGCTTGACCAGCCAGTGTTGTCATTACATTCTGGATTTGGTGAGACTAACTTCTTACAACAGTACTTCAATTCCTTACAGTTGTTTGTTCATTTTTTTAGAATGTCTTGAAGAGAGACTTGTCTTGTTCATTCACAGTCTTAGCCAGGTCTCTGCCCATGTTACCACCACGGTAGTCAGAGGCAGACTACTGAGGTCCGGTAGTTTCTGTTAGCCGAATTTATTGGGTGATTTTATAGCACAAGCATGGTCTTTAAAACAAAAACCAGATGTGCCAGACGCGCTGTCAAACGTAGTGCGATCTGATTGGTCCAGGAGACGTGGAACGCTTGGGCCGAGATAGCGGCCCTCTTACCCTCAGCCCACTTCAGCCGCGAAACCCTCTTTACTCGGCTGTTTACAAATTTTACTCTTTTCAAGCGATTTCCTTTTCAAGCGATTCCACTTGGATTTTCGGTCGGTATCGAGCGGACGGAGAAATTTCTTGTTGAACTGAGCGAACTCCGTACACAGCTCCCCGCCCCCAGGAAGTCTGGTGAGTCCAACTCTCTGATGTAATGTTGTTTTTACCTCCATGAAAAATGGAGGTATTGTTTTTGGCGTGTCTGTCTGTGTGTTTGTGTGTGTGTGTGTGTGTGTGTGTGTTTCCGCAACTTTGTGGTCATCATAACTTCAGAATGCCTTTATGGATTCTGATGACATTTGGTATGTTGGTAATTCTTAGGAAGACGAAGGTCAAGGTCAAATATGGGCCTCCTGGTGGATGACCTTGATACTGCAGCAGAACTTCCGGTTTTTGTATCTCTTGTCCTGAACATGCTATGGTCTTGACTTTTTGGTGACAGATAGCTTTTCCTGTCAGAAATGAGTGGTGTGGGTTTGGTCCCCCTACCAGCTTGTTCTGGAACTGCAGGGGACTTTCGGGCGAAATCTTTAAAGGCAATAAGTCCAGATAGGAACAACATATTTTCATAATTTTTGGTAGGTAGGTAGCTGAGAGAGAGATGTACTTGATTTAATGCAAATTATGCAAATGAGGACCTAATTTGCATAATTGATGTGAAAATTCTATAATTACAGTGTTTTACATTATAGTACTTTCATGCATGTAATATATGTAATCTATGGCAGATAGAATGTCAACAGATACCAATTATGCAAATGATGACCTAATTTACAAAATTATATGATTTTTAATGGTGAATGATGGCAATTCTGTACCTTGTGACATGTAGGTTACTTAAATGTTAACAACACTATGCATATATCATGTTAATATAGATCCAATTTGCATAATTAATAAGGAAGTCTAAGTGAGGATGTTTAAATGAAATATTGCCAAAGGATAGGAGTTAGACACGCAAAATATTGTAAGTTGAGTTTAGAACACCATAAATCAAACTGTATTATATCAATTGCCACCTTATTTCCATATTCAATGAAACAAAACATTTACATAAACTCTACATATTTCATGGAGGTATGAGATCTCAGAATTCTTGTTTTGTTACTGTGATGCATTCCATATGTGGTGTTCTCACTGAATCAAATCTATTTGTACAATGATTGAAAAGTTTTATTTTTTAGAGTTTTTTTTAGTGAGAAATGAATGTTGTAACAGTTAGTTGGCAGTAAAACTTCTAGATCTTGTTTAGAAGAATGAAATTTAAAAAATGTATGAATATTGTTTTCTGGGGGCCCACTTTTTTTCGCCCTATCGTATTAGATTTGGAGACTGCGGTGGATTTTATCCATAAAATTTACTTGCTGTGGCCTTAGAAATAACAAATGACTAATGGCGAAACAAAGCCATATGTGTAAGCGTCGTCTATCTTGGGATGGGGGACGGGAGACATAAACAGACTGATAACACTTCGTTGATTTTTTTATACAATGTATATATTTTACCCTGGAACGCAAGAGTACAAGCGGGTCGCGGCTGATTTCTTGTCGGCCCGCCAAGCACATATACCCGCGAAACACGATCCAGCCGGCCAGGGTAG